CTTACACAAGACTTTTTACAGAAGAAAAGGCTAGCTTAGAGTAATATATTTTCAGGATTAAAAAAAGGAATGTTGTAAATAGTATAGCTTAGTATAGAGTATTATAAGGACTAGTTTATAATAGTATATTGAAACAACTTTTTTTTAAAACATAATGACTGAACTAAGATATTATTTATAAAATCAATTAAGAGATAATAAACTGTATTTATTTTATAACATTGTTTAATTAAACACTCTTAATGTGTAACAGTAGTACTACACTATAGTATTGATAGATTGTAAGCTACTTTACTTATTACTATTATAATACAATGTTACTCTAATGTATTGTAATTTATATAAGACAAGATCAAATTTTGAAAGTACTCAGAATTTTTATTAGAATGTGAGAAAGCTGTTCTAATTAACTACTTTTATATTCTAACTAAAATTCTAGTTAATACATAATATGAATTTGCCTTATGTGATTGTAACTTTATAAGTAATCTACTTTTCTAGACTAATAATATTAAGTCTACTTACAAATTAAATGCTAGGTAAGTTTATTACATAATACTGACTAACTTAATTAGTATAGGTTATTTAAAGAAAAGTTATATAAAGAATAAGATAAAAGTTGATTGGGTTAAAAACTTTTATAAACTTACAAAACATAAAGCTTATAAAAGATCTAGAATTCTTATTCTAAATAGTTACTTATCTTATTTATCTTTACCTTTTCTCTTTTTCTATACTCAATTGTTTTCTACAAAAGTTTACATATAGTAGATGACCAACAGTGTTTAGTTTTAGAAAATACGTTTTGTTTGAAGCTGAAGTGTGAAGCAATGAAATAAATCTGGAATTAAAATGTGGTGTTACAAGGACTGGTTCATGACAGTAATTAGTATCTGAGTGACATTGATATGACAAGCTGACATATGTTTTGGGCATGTGTGTGTCAACTCAACAGTCTTGCCTCTCCTGAGTCCTAGACTGCTCTTTCCAATGCTTGTCTCATTTCCCCCACCATACGCCCTGTTCACAATCCTGTATCTTCAATGACTCCTGTGCTTGCAAATACAGCATTAATGAGAAAGCAACAATACTTGGATAAGGTCTGTCGGTTATCCTTTTCTCTTTGACTTGATAATGCATTTCGCTTTGCTGATTCTTCTTTTCTCCCTTTCTCTTCTAATATTTCGGCATGCATTCCCATTTTGCAATGACACAAAAATTATGATGAAATGATGCTTCTTGCACATTAGGCTGATTATTCCTCTATCCACATTTTTGAGCAATTATTGTACAGTGAAGTCTATTCAGTCTTAAGAAATTATAAGTATATTCCGAAGAACAACTATCAAGCTAGCTACTTCTCAAGATACGGATATTAATTATTTAGTGTTTAGTTTACAATCTAGCTATAACTTATGTGCAATTACTATTACATTGTACTGCTTTTACATTATTTCTTTCTCCCTTTTCTATGGTTTTCACTGACTGTGTTCTCTGTTCTCTTACTATTACTACTTTGTCTTAACAAGATTCTATACATGTGTTCTCCTGACTTCCTCCTGAGTAAATCCAATACACTACTACTATGCCTATGGTCTTTGTGTCTTTCAGTATCTCTTGGTTTAAGTTTTTCACTATTTGCTCCTTCAGCTTTCTGACTAGTCTGTTTAATATCCTGTTTATGCTTTTCCTCAACTGCCTTTTTCATGAATTTTTTCCATGTCTCCATTGTGTTAAAGTCCCAATAATTGAGACCATGCTGCTTTGCTTGTTCATTATACCACTATTTAATAAATGTATGAGTCACATTAAAGTAGTAAATAATAGACTTTCTTCTAACCTGCTCTACTATTTTCACAAGTCTTTCTGCTGTTTCTCTATCATCAGGATTTACACATAGGCAACCATGCAAAAACTCTCTTCCTGTGTACGTATTATGTAATCAAGCAATTTATTAGTTAATATCTGCAAACTAAAAAGAAGTTTTTTTTTCACCTGTGTCAGATAAGTATGACTTGCTTTCTGAAAGGACATTCTCAACATGTTCATCAGTTATCTGGACTGCTGCCAAGAGTACCCGAACACTCTCCTTATCCTCCCCTTTATATTTGCTATAGTTGACATTTACAGTGTTATAAATACAATATCCAATTGAAAGTTCTAGTGCTACTGCTCTAATGTAACAGTGTTAATGAACCTTGTGTGTTGGATTGATCACAGTGCCCTGTACTTACCCTAATGACCAGATGTCAACTGCTATTGTATACTTTTTCAGACTTTTGCCGTCCATTCTATATATTTCAGGTGCTACATAATCTTTAGTTCCACATGGCCGGTCCAATATAGTATCCCTCTTAAGCTGAAGTGCACTGAAAGGGGTTTAGATTGCTGAGTATATATAATTTGTCAGAAATGGCATGTTACATACTATCCAAAGTCTCCAAGTAAAAGACGATCCTTAGTACAGGGTGTATGTTCGTTGTATGCTCTCTTTATGTAGAAGTTATCAGGTCTGACAGCATGTCAATGTTAGTACACAAACATTGTTCTATTATTGTAGCTTCAGTCTCACTTCAGGTCCCTGTGAACAATATTCATTGAATGGAGATAGGCAACTGCTTCGGTCATTTGTCTTTATCTAAACTTCAGCACAGTGCTATCCAGAAAATGGTGAATAATACTATCGCACCTTATATAGTGAACAGCAATTTCCTCGCTGAAATACTCAACTTTCTCTAGTCGGTCAAAGAGTTCGCCACCTTCTGCATAGTCGAATACTAGTACCCATTCCCTGTCGTTCTCAAATGCTCCATAGCACATTATCTTTTAATCATGGTCAGTCATGCATACGCCGTCCGTTGATCATTTGCAACGTACTACGTTCTTATGCCGCATTTTTGCCGTAATTCGTGCTTCATTCTTCAGGTCTTTCACAAAATCTCTTATTTCCGGTATTGTTCTGCGTTTCCCTTCATGGTTTATAAACTTATCAATCACTTTCGCAACAAACAGTCTTGTTTCGCCTTGCACAAGGTCCTCTCGTTTCATGACCTTTTTGTATTATACAGTCAATCTCCGGAAAACCAGCTAAGAGGTGGAAAGTAGTACGGCGTACATATGCAGTGGCAGAAGTTCCCTTTTGAAGTTCGCGTATACATTCAAACTGTCGTGGTATGTCTTGCTTATTTGTATCCTTTGCCCATAACCACTTGTCGCGGAACATAGGCGGACCTCGTTCATGTCGGAACAAGGGCTTCAAGTTTTTTAATGTACGTATTGTTTGGTACTGGATTGCTGCTGTTTGTTCATTTTCTTTGATTCTAGAGGGGAGGGACATTAATATTGTGAACTAACAGCTTCCTTTACTCAAAGAATATCAATGGGGAGGGGGGGAACAGAAGGGGGCAGTGCAAATATAACCTGTGAATTGACCTAATATTGTCAGAAGATTGGATTACATCTGCAAAGTTACAATTTCGGCACATCAGAATAACATCATAGTGTGATGGTGATGGGCAAAGTAGCCCACAGCATATACATACAATGTTGTCTTTGACAGGCTCTTCAAGGTCAGGAACATTCTTGTTGAGTGTAAATGATGAGTCCAGCTTGCAGCCTGTCATTCATAATTTCGAAGCACTGCATAGTAGATGAATGCCTTTTGAGACAATGTGTCAATGAGCCATAGACTAGAGAAGCAGTCAGACCTGTTCTGATGGGTGGGACTTGGCTGAAGCAAGGCGTCTACGAGAGATGATCTACTTATGATGCATGGAGGAGCTGAATTGGCTCTCCTTCTTTAAATACAAGCATGCTCTACAGCTTTGAAAAGATAAGACGCGATGGATTTTGGTTTAAAAATCTAGAAATCCATCTGTTGTCCCATTGGTTATTGGGCCTTTGCTGAGGAGGATAAAGCCAAAGGCCTGTAAAAAGCAAGTGACAGATGATTCGCTGTCGTCCAACTTGATAGCAATTCCTGAATTCCTGAACACTGAGTTGTACAGCCTGTTCAGGCCCTTTAGCGGGTGTGAGTTCTTGACAATCTAGTTGGCGGATAGATGTGACAAATTGGGAGTGTTTGATTGAACAATGTGAGAAATGTGCACCTTTACGGAAATTACTTAATGCACTTATGGGTGGTGTTTATGTAATATTATTGATCTCTGAGTGACATAAGTGATGTGACGAGCTGACGTATGTTTTGGGCATGCGCGCGTCAACTCAACGCGTCCGTTAGTCTCGTCTCTCCTGAGTCCTACTCCGCCCTTTCCAGCGCTTGTCTCGTTTCCCCCGCCATACGCACCGTTCACGATCCTGTATCTTCAACGACTGCTGCGCTTGCGAATATAGGATAAACGAGAAAAGCAAGTAGCGATGCTTGGAGAAGGTCTGTCGGTTATCCTTCCTTTTCTCTTCGACTTGATAACGCGTTTCGTTTTGCTGATTCTTCTTTTCTCCCTTTTCTTTTCTAATATTCCGACATGCATTCCCATTTTGCAATGACCCGAAAATTACGATGAAATGACGCTCCCTGCATATTAGGCTGGTTATTCCTCTTCTCGGTGCTCTTCGCCGCCGGGCTTCTGTTCACGATGGTCTTCTTTGTACGTCTCTCTTCGCTCATTCTTTCCCATTCAATACCATACCGTATCGATTTAAACTGACATATCTAATTATTCATATAGATAATCATGTTCTCCGACCTCGAATGCGACTACATCAATCCTATCGACCTCTGCAACAAGCTCAACCAAGTGCGTACCACGTGGCACGTGCCCAGTTTGTTGTTTAGTTTAAACTGACTGACGTCCTGGATGCACACACACATAGTTTGTGTTACCTGAAAATGGTGCACATGCTTTCCTGACGTTGTTATTCCTGCTATCTGGTCAATGGACGGCGTTCCTGCTTAATGCGCCGCTGGTTGCTTTTAATGCTAACAAGTGCGTGCTTTTTTCTCCTTCTTCCTTCCTTCCTTCCTTCCTTCCTTCGGCTGTCTTACCTCTTCTGCTGGTTGGTGATATAAGATGTACTGTACTGACGATGAACGTATGTTTCGAATATAGAACCATGAACAAAACGCATATGTACGACGCAACGGAGATTTTCCGTACGTTATCTGGGCATAAAAAGGAGGCTTTCTTCAAGCTTGGGTTTTATTTGCTTAGTTTCTTTTACTACCTCTATCGGTGCGTCGTTTCTTCGTGTTCCTGACTTTACGCCTGGGCACGTACTGAAATTGTTATGTAGAATGATTGTTGCCTTGATTGCGGAAAGCGAATGAAGGTATCTGCTGGGTGACTGCGATGGGTGCGTAGCGAAGGATGTCTGAGTCGAGAGGGGGGGCGTCAGGGGTGGAATGAGGGGACGCTGGACGGTCAATCTACAGGGCAAATAGTCTTCTTTTTACATCAGTTGCATTCTGCTGCGAAACCATGTTTGTTTTGTGTGTACATCTGGTAGAGCTTATATATTTCATCCACTACTACTAAAGCAGTATATTTATGGTTGGAAAGAGAAGAGGAATGTACGGAACCCACCGACCCATCGGCCGACTGTAAGAAATCACAAGTCTGTCGAAATGGGTGCTAAGACGGCCGAAAGACGTTGATCTAGACACGGCCTGACACTCAAACGGCCACGTAGAGAGGATGATGCAGCCATGAGCAACACTGGGGAATCGTATGAACCGTGTCGCCGCACGAGGAACAAGAACTGGCGATGCACTCCTAAAATTTATACGTGGCTCTTCAGGGCCGGCGTCGACACGCGTGCCCATTTGATACGCGTAGCGCATATAACGAGCCTCTCCGAGTTGTTGAGACGATGTGCTGCCAAGTTCCAACAGCGCCCACACAGAAATGCAGAACACGTCCCCTGCATCCCCTGCTGCTCCTGAGCACAAGACGTACTACCTCTGCGTCGACTGCGGTGGTTCCAAGACTGCTGTCACGCTCACGGACGGCAGCACGGGCGACATCTGTGCGCGTGTCACTGGCGGGCCCTCCAACTTTTCTTATCTCGGTCTCGATGGCTTTCTGAACGAGGTCTCTTCCTGTATCGAGAAAGCCCTCCACAATGCAAGAGGAATTGACAAAGAAGTGTCTCTCCTCCCATCCGTAGACTCCAACAAGAAGTACTTTGCTGCAGCATGGTTCGGTGTTTCCGGTGTCGACACACCCGAAGCTGTCGGGGAGATCATCCCGCGTCTCAGTGCTCTCCTATCCTTACCGCCAGCAAGACCGTACCTCACCCTCGCAAATGACACGACTCTCCTCGCCGCGCCGCTAGTCGCAGCCGCAAAGCATAACCCTTCTCTCCGTACCTGCGTTGCTGTCGTCGGCGGTACGGGCTCCATCGCCGCTAGCTTCCGCCTCACCCCGACCACTTCCAACAGCGAACCCGGTCCGGACGCCATCCCGCAGGAAATCGCACGTGTTGGCGGTTGGGGATGGATCTTAGGCGACGAAGGAGGTGGATTCCACATCGGTCGCGAAGCCATTAGACACCTTCTCCGACAACATGAGCTTGCCGTCCTTTCCGGTACACCTCTCACACCACCCTCAGACACAGACGAGTCTGACGACCTCCGTACACGGGTATTGGCCCTCTTCGGCGTGAAGAGCGCACCGGAGCTGCTCGCTATCATACACGATGCGGATCCCCCGTCCACTGCGGTGTTGAATCACGCCAATATCCACGTCCCGCCTGGAAGCGTGTTATCCATGTATCGAACCATCGCGCGCGAAAAACGGCTCAGCCAACTCGCCCCGCTCGTAATACGCGCCGCATTCGGCGACGGCACTGCTAAAAGCAGTGGCGGCGACCCACTCGCACTTGGCGTACTCAAAGCCACATCTGCGGAACTCGCTTCCCAAATTGCAATCCTCCTCGAAGGTCCTTCCGGACCGGATCCGGCTTGCCCAAATGCTATTCCCGCAAAGTCATCCCTGCTCATATTTGGCGGCTCGCTCGTTGGTATACCCAAATACCGTGATTTCGTACTTGAAGCACTTAGATTACAGGGACATGAATTCACTGCTGTCGAGCATGTTTCGAACGCTGCTGAGACTGGTGGACGAGTCCTTCATGAGCTCTTCAACTCCTCCAAGTAATCACCGATCTTTTCCACCTTGACTTATTCATTATAAACTGCTACGTAGAAACATACATCGTGGATTAACAGCCGTTCTGATTTACTTCGCTTTCTGTATACCAGTCTACCCCCAATCGATCACAATATCATACGATCAATATCCTTTTAGCAACTAGGAGACAAAGTATTCAGTTCAACATCAACGTGAGATAGACAACAAAGGAAATACCATCGACACAACCCTCGCAACGCCCTTGACTTTCTTACACTCCTCAATCGCATTCCTCGCGATCGGATCGCCCAACGTTCCTTCATCCCTAAACGCCATCAAATACTTTAAACACACCTCCTCCCTAAAGTCCGCATATATCCTTCGATTATACCTCCGCTCGAGTTTCCTCGCCTGCTCGTCGTACGCATGCGACTGATGTACGAGGAAGTCATCGGAGAGGACGTAGAAATCCACGCCAGAGAGGTACATCTCGTATAAACACGCCGCCTTGTTCCCTCCGTACCCGACAAACCGCTCATCGCACCACGGTATCGTCCTCTCACCCCCATCACGTCGAAAAATTACGTATGGCTCATATGCGTGTTGGTAATGCGCCGGAGAAACCTTGTACACTTCACCCGGTTGAGAATGATACAGAAAACGCTCATAGTCTGTGCTGTTATGTCCCGGAGACCAGGTAGCATGGAACATCCCAATCCGACTTTCGTTATACAGCTTTATAAGTTCTACTTTGCTTGTTGGGAACGTACGTGCGTCTGTACCGTCCTTGTGCTCGACATACTCAAACGCAGGTATCACGAGTGCCGCGCGGTCTCTGCGTAATAACTCGTGGATGGGACTTGTCTTGGGTGTGTGAAGAAGTCTTGTGCGGAAGTCGGTGCATGGAACGAAATCGACGTCGAGCATCATGACGTAGTCTGTACGTGCAAAGAGCCTCGCGGCGTTCCGCCAGGCGTTGAATTGCCTATCGTTACGCGAGGGCGTCAGAATGAGATGTACGTCCACAAGTGCAGACATCAGTGGTGAGCTAGAGTATAGCGCGTGCAACGCATCGAGGAAGTTTACGCCCTTCCCGCCCGAACTCGATTCGGCCAGCTCCGCACGAGAAACGTGCACTGTCACCGATATCGGCCCGCGATACCTCTCCACAAGCTGCTTAAACACTGCGAACCTGTTCCGGGTCACGAGCGTAGCGATTGTTATGTCCTCTTTTTTATGTGATTTAGAGGCGCGATAGTAGTATGGGATCACGTCCAGGTTGCTTGTATCCCCGAAAGCAAGATGTTCTTGAGAGACCGCAAAGGCTTTGTTGAGGAATAGAGAAGCAGGCATGGAGACTTGAGTGTGGTCGTGTTTGTGGGACGTGTCTGGTATGAGTCCAGTATCCCAGTACATAATATCCTTATTGTGATTTGCAAAAGGAAGGCCTGCGATCAGGTCCGAGTTGCGAGCAATCTCAGATAGGTCAGAGACCTGAGGTCTAGGAGACAGCCAAGAGAAGCGTAACTTGTTGAATAAGCCAATAGTCGAAGCAGAAGCAGGATTTGCCTTAGAGGTATAGCCAAAAGCGACGCGTATAAGCGGAGAAAGGAGAAAGTTCGTCGTGTAGAGAACCGCGAGGGAGATGTAGAGCGCGAGTGCCACACGAAGCCATTGAAGTGCTAGCTTCATTTTGTTCTTGCTTCTTGCTCAGTCTGTTCGTATTTTTTTTCTCCGGATCTCTTTGTTGCAGTCAGTCCTGTATCTGCATTTGCTGTTTGGAGGACTGGCTGATGAACGGAGTGAGGTACCAGCACGAAGAACGAAATTTGGTGGTGGAGACTGAAGATTCGCTGGGCACGTGATGGCGTCAAAGAATGACTGGCCATGCATGGGATTCGCTTACTTGGGTAAAAATATATTCTTCCAATGTTGCACATTTACAAGAAGGGCGAAGGAGCGAAAGCAAGCGATTACGACTACGTCACGGTATGAAGTAATGTACATTCAGTGCGGAAGGGAAATTGAAAAATAAAATAAAAACTGTTCTAGCGTCATTAAAAAAACCTCAGCGTGCAGATACAGCATCAAACGACACAATATACACTGTCCTTCGCCGTTCACGTTCCGTAGGCACTCTGAATATCGGAACTGGAACACTGATCTCCTGCCTCTGAGACAGTCCCCGACTTAACCTTTGTGCTCGCTCAGCTCGTTGTATAGCTTCTTGCTCCGCGACGAGCGTCCAAACTCGTGCATACACTCTCGAAAGTGCTCTATACTCATCTGGATGCGCTGGCGCCCACGGAAGCTTTTCCCCACAGTTGCAGTCCGTCGCGAGTGTATGCACCGTTCTATGTCGGGCTTGTACTTGACGTGCGAGTGCGATCACACCTGGATCTGCTTCGAGTTGTTCGAGTTGGAGTCTTGGTAACCGTCTAGCCCTTTCCATATCTGTCTCAGTCGAGGACTCGTCTTCCTGGACTTGCAAGAACCGCAGAAATTTGGGGAACGTGAAAGCTGGTGCGTGCGCAGCGGCGTCGGCGAACCAGATATTTGTTTGTTTGGTTCGGAGGTGCGTGTACACGGCCAGACCAATTATTATGCAGGTATAAATTAAAGCGACAAGTAATGTGCTTCCGGAGAACAAGAGAAGTAGTCCTGCCAAAGTGCGTCCCCCGTTTCGATTAAAAGCCTGTTTTGCGTTACTGCTTAGGTTTGACACCGCGGATGAATCTTGTGGAGATGCGAGTTCTGCCTCCAGTGACAAAGCAGTTAAAAGCAGAGGCAGACACGCAACGCAGAATATAGCCTCGGCGCCAACGTATATCCGTCTGCGTTCAAAGGGATTTTGCCGTTTCCGAGGTTTGAGTCTAGGTAGGAAAAGCGCACAAGAAGCCGCCAGGCCGGTTACGATGGACGCGCATGAAATGATCGAGAGCGCCGGTGTGTAGCTATTGCCAGCAGTTGGGAGTACGAACATGCCAATAGCGAAAGTAAGAACCGAGATAGCTGCTGTATATGAAAGTGCAATGGCGCGTACACGAGCGAATCTCAAGTTTTGTACCAGTGCCATTGCGTTATGAAAGGGTGTTTGCACCTAATCAGGCGCGTAGAAGGTACGGAATCGCTCTTATAACGAGGCTGACATACTTCCATGCGTTGTTAGCAACCTGACTGGATGGAGGATCCCGTCCGCGACATTGCATCAGACTGGTCCAAAGCATGTACTTCCGAATATGATTTCAATGTGAACCAGTAACACATTCGGGTCGGCGATTGATCCGTTACAAATATTCGGGTGACATGAATGCGTCAGCATCAAAGGTCAGAAGCCTCGTAGATCCAGTACAAGACCCTGATCAACACAACGAACGACACCAGGGTGACGTTCGATGAGCTCGATAGCTCCAGGCTCCGACAAGATCAGCCGGCATTCTTCGAGTTGAGCATGACGAGCCTGTGTATGGTCATAACCCTCAACCACTGGGTTTTCATGAATATTGTCGCCCGACAAACATTGCTCAGAGCGACGGGAAAGCAACATGTTAATAACTGACTCGGGGGAGCAGGGGCTTGCGAGGGGAACGTCAAGGTATTGCAAGTTAGGGCAAAGTCCTTGTGTATGCACCTGCTGTTCTTGGGTAGAATTTCTGCATTGAGATAGTGTCAGTGCTGTCAAGGCACGGTCACTCAGGCGAACAAACATCTTCAACCTTTCTAACTTCGGCGCTTCCCGTAAAACCGCAAGGAACTCTCCTTCTGTAAAATATGCTCCCATGAAGATGAGTTCAGTCAATGGAGACCGTGTACGAGCAAGATGACGGGAAAGAGCAGTCCACCGTCCTTGTCGAGAGCAGCTGACTGAGAGCGATAGTCTTGCGAGTACTGGGAGCTGGAGGACGTCAAGGCACACGCCAAGTGCGTGAAGGTCCGCAGTGCCACTCAAGCTAACGGCACGTAACGTAAGTGTTTGCAACGTTGGAAACCTGATCGACCCAAAGCTAAGATTGGATGCAGACTCCGAGTTCATTCCGTACTTAATGTTCAGGTAGGCATCCTCAAGACGCGGAAAGGCCTCTGCAAGTTGCCCAAGGAGAGAAATATGAATCTGAGAGTGAAGACTAAGCTTTCGCAGGCTCGACGCTCGGAGGCTCAAGCCTAAACCAGGTGGTCCAAGCAGAACATCATAATTATGCAGGCTGAGTGTTTCCAAGGATAGAGGAAGACTTGTGAAAATTATATCCGTTAGTGCATCTGTCTTCAGATATAGATGTTTCAGTTCTTTAGCCCCCTCCAAGTCTAACATGATAGCCCCTAGTCGAAAAGCGATCAAGTTATCCAAGTCAACAACCAAGTCTTCCTGTTCAGAAGGTGCGTTTGCAGATGTTATTGTAATCCGGCACGTCTCCATCACGGGCGTCCCATGACCAAGTAATTGTAGGATGGGCTTCAAACATGGCATCGGAGCGGTGATGTCGACGTCTCGCCAGCGGTGTGCGTGCCCTAGTGTAGCAGCAAGGATTGACGAGATATTGCGTACATCACTTGCAGAGCTCCCGAGATATCGTAGACGCAAATAAATAGAACAAGCGCCAGAACGTTCAAACCAATCTGTCAGCACAGTGAAATGCCTCAGTGCAAGCATCCTGCATGGAATACTAGGAAAGCAGACAAGGTACAGTCGGGACCAGAGACGGGGCGTGGCGAGCGCAACTTGACGCCACATATGGCATACGTTGGTAAAAAGACGTGGTGGAGACAGCGGGTTGTCCGTGGGTAAGTCTTCAGCTGGCATACAGTGCTCGAAAATCATGCTAAGTAACTCGGGAATGTTTAATACCCTAGTACGTGCGTAGGACTGGAGTGGATGGCCTGCGGGGTATTGTGGGAAATCATCATGGTAATCTGGCTTTTCTACTCCGAAAGATCCGTTGGGTCGCTGGTTGGAAGACGAGAGGAAAGCCGATATACGCTGTTTCCAGAGGCGGTCACCGCCCTTCATAAGAATGTTTTCCGATAATGTAGTGAAATAGCCAGAGAAATGACAGAGAAGTGGGAGAAGCAGAGAGACTCCACAATACCGTGCGATGGCATGACGAGGCGTGCAAAGTAGAGAGTGCCGAGGGGAGGTGGCGGTCAACCTGCAAAGTTCGTCTCTGTACTTATTGCTCAAATTCATCTGTTGCTGTGACGTACGTCACATATATCGCTGAGTCACGCTGTTCAGCACGTGCTTATGGCTTACCAAACAAAGGACAGTGTGTCATCACGAAAAAGTCTTAAGTATTATACTTGCTTGTAATCTTGTATATTTTATAAATTTTATAAAATTTGTCCAATTACTTATAATCTTCCTGGGGGGTTAAGTAAGGAAAGTACAATGTTAAATAAGCAAGAAAAAATACTTTTAAAACTTGGCAATTTCTGATATAATTTTATAAATTGTCAAGTTATACAAGTGATTATAATATACTTCCTAAATTACAAGGTTAAGACATACTTATTAATTTGTGACAGTGTAATATCTGCTTATAATGCTTACAAGTCATTACAAGTATTTGAATAGCTTGCTTTTGCTTACTATACAATTTTATATCAAATAATTAATCGAATATAATTATATTTAAATTATAGAATACAAAAATAGTAAATAATACTGCCATTTCTACAGTCCCAACCCCTACACCACCAGCTGCCTCTGCCTCATTTCTTCTGGCGAGTGGGATTTGTGTTGGACAAAGGATGAACCGCATTCTCAGGCCGTTCAATGTAGTCTT